ACCATACTTAATCTTAGCCATATATCAGTAAAATTAGCTGAAGAATACGCTACTCATTTTTTGTATTTACAAAGGTCAGTTGTGTGCAGGGGCCATCTTGAATTGCGTCAACTCCAAAAGTTAACAGTTGTAAGCGGAACCGGAAAGAGCTGAAATGAGCTACTAAAATAAGGAATTTTGAAACAACTAAAATTAGTATAAAAACAGCTAAGTAGTAGCTGAAATTACAGAAAAGCAGAAAATAGCATAATTAAGCTGAAAGGAGTATGAACTGAAATTAGCAGAAATAAGTTAATTAGGCAGAAAGCAGCAGAAATTACCACAAATAACTTGAATTTATCTGAAAAAAGCCGGAATTGGCTAGATAATGCTGTAAAGGCAGCTGAAAAGGTAGAACAAGCTTAAATTAGCAGAGTAAAGCAGAAAAAACATGTTTGCCTTATTAGGCTGCAAGAAGCAAAAATTAGCATGAAAAAGTGGAAATTATCTAAAAAATACTACTAATAATAAAAAGGCTGAAACTAGCGACAACAACAACATAAAAAAAACAGCTTAAATTAGTGGAAGGATGTGGAAAGATTACATTTTTGCTGAATTAGGCCGCTGGACAAAGTTGAAATTAGTGCAAATAATGTGGAATTAGCTGAAAAAACTAAAATTAGCATGAAAACTGGTAAGTAGTAGCTGAAACAGCCGAAAAAGCTTAAACTTGCAGAAATAAGTTGATAGGAGCATAACAAGCTGAAATTAGCAGAAAGAAGTTAGAAGAAGCACAGAACTGTTGCATTTAGTAGAAAGAATCTAGAAGGAACACAAAACAGCTGAAAAAAAGATAAATTTGCAGAAGGAAGCTGAAAGAAGCTGAACTGGAACAAAATGTGAAAGGAGCAGTAAAAGGTTGCAAACACATCTAAAAATGTGAAGGATGTAAAATGAGCTCAATTCATTTAATGTGAGAAAAGTGGCAGAAAAGGCTAAATATTTCAAAAAGCTAAAGTTGCACCAATACCAAAGTCATAACACACTTCACCTGAACGAGCTGAACGTTTTGATTTATGATTTGTTGAAATACTTGAAAACTGCGGGACGAGAAACATACGGAAGAAAAATGGATCACAATAGTGTGAATGAACAAAGTCCATGCTCAATAATCCAGGATTACAATCCAACATTTTTCAGTCAGGTCATCTGGACAGTTTCTTTTTTTTTTTTTTTTTTTGTGCTGAAACATTTCGCCTTCGATCCAGAAGGCTTCATCAGTCAAGGAAACACACAAAAAAACGGATTCTTCCCCCAACAGCTTACTCCAAAGTGGAACAAACCAGTTATGTTGGTGCTAAGATGGTCTCTTTGGCAACGCCCCCACCTCCATTGCCAGCCCTCTTCCTTGTTGACAGTCGTGTCAAACTGGTTGAAAACAACAAAGTCCATGCTCAATAATCCAGGATTACAATCCAACATTTTTCAGTCCGGTCATCTGGACAGTTTCTTTTTAGTGTGAATGCTTCATAATTATCTTTTGTAAGTTCCATTAAACACAGCTGTTGCACCGTTAGTTAACATTAAACCAACACGCAGACGCAGATAAAAACATCATTGCTCTGACTTCGACTTGGCCATCTGATGATAATAAGCCTTTTGCATTGCAGATCCGTAATTCCTCATTAATTAATTTTGTCTCCATTGTCTTCAGTACACAATAATCACCAAATCAGGAGTTCCGGTTGTCCACTTCAGACAGAGAGTTCACTTTTCTTCCTGGATCAGGTTGCCTCGTGGCCTCCAGGAGCTCTTCCAGGCATCTCCAAGCTATAAAAGACAGAGTTGTTATCTGAGGCCAACTAGATGGGTTAGTTTGTGTTTGAACAGACTGATAGTAGCTGGCTATCAGCCACCGCTCTAATCTTCTGTTTGTGTGTCTCCTTGTTGGCTCTGTGACAGCATGAACAGGCTGAAATGCAAACAAACCATAGTTGGTGAAACACCCAGAATTGCATCACTGTCTGCTTCTCAGTGTCATTGTGATTGGCTAACAGACATGTCAATTCATTTATTTTTAAACCGTAATACTATACCTTCATCCATCGGCTACAGAATAATCCGTCGCTGCTTGGGTTTATCTTTGTCTTCAAGTCACCGATCAAAACGATTCGGATGAAGAGTCGGCAGGTGATCCCAGCAGGAATGACTCATGCAGTTTCAGTGGATACTGAATCCCAACACAAGTCACACATACCAGCATGAATCATAAACGAGACAGTGGCTGATGCGCTGATTGCATTCCAGCACGTCTTTCAGCATCGTTTAAAAATATTGGTTAAAATGAAAAGCGGTTGAAAACGTCCCTCCGGAGCTCCTGCAGTGCTCCCGAACCGCCTCAAACGTCTGATTTCTAGTCCTTTTCTTGGCTGTGTCGAATAACTCCGCCCTTTTGTTGTGGCGTGTTTCAATCATCGGTGAAAAGGCTGAAAGGCTTCCTTCATTCTGACTGACTGGCTGGGAGTGTCACGCTTACACACGGTTGTAGGAACATTCACACAAAAGGGTTGTGTGTCACATATAAACAGACACGCAAACTGTGGGTCATGTGAGTTGATGTTAACACACCTGAGTAGTGTGTGAGACGTTTTGGTCTCTTGTTTCGTTGTGGAAGCCACGTAGGAAGGAGAATGGAGGCTGCACTGACGGTGAGGGGCTAAATGACACCAGAGGCTAAATAAACTCAAAAAATCCTTAGAAACTAAAAATTAACTACGACTGGTAACCTCTTGAAGCCAATCCCATTTAAGATGGCCGCCCCATCTAAGCGACATTAGCAAATATAAATAGAACAACTCAATCCATTCAGTCAGGTCATCTGGATGGTTTCTATTTTTGTTGAGACGTTTCGTCCTCCATCCAAAGGACTTCATCAGTCTGAGGAGCCACAACAAACAGTCCCACAAGCAGCACACTCACATAGTGGACCAACCAGTTTGCTGGTGATAAGATGGTTTCTGGGGCCCACCCTCTCCCCCGTCGACTCCTCTGAGGCAGCCATAGCCAAAGTTATTCAAAACAAAGTTCATCCTCAATAATCCAGGTAAAACAAAAAACAACAATGTTCAGCTAGGCCATCTGTATGGTTTCTTTTTTTGTCGAGACGTTTCGTCCTTCATCCAAAGGACTTCATCAGTTCGAGGAGCCACAACAAACTCAGTCCCGTGACCAGCACACTCACATAGTGGACCAACCGGTTGCCTCAGAGGAGTCGACGAGGGAGAGGACGGGTCCCAGAAACCATCTTATCACCAGCAAACTGGTTGGTCCACTATGTGAGTGTGCTGCTTGTAGGGCTGAGTTTGTTTGTGGCTCCTCTGACTGATGAAAAAGAGAAAAAAGAGAGCACATTACACCTGTTTTGGCCTCCCTACACTGGCTTCCGGTTCACCTTCGAATCAAATTCAAAATACTCTTGTATGTCTATAAATCACTAAACAGCTCTGCCCCCTCCTATCTTACTGATCTGCTCCAGCCGTATGTCCACCACGTTCTCTCAGATCAGCAGACCAGTTGCTCCTAACAGTCCCAGGAACCCGTCTCAAGCGCAGAGGTGACAGGGCCTTCTCTGTAGCAGGCCCAAGACTTTGGAATGAGTTACCTCTGCTCGTTAGACAGGCCCCCCTCCCTCACAGTTTTTAAATCTCACTTAAAAACACACTTTTATTCCCTGGCTTTCAGCACTGTGTGATCTGTGCTGAGTCTGTGTGCATCACACTGTGTTGGTCATGTTGCGGTTGTTGTTGTTATCCATTATTGTTTTTGTTGGTTTCTACTTTCTGGTGTCCTGTTATGTAATCTGTTGCTATGTGCTTGTTCTGTTTGTCCCTGTACAGCACTTTGGTGTGCTTTGTCACTGTTTAAAGTGCTATATAAATAAATTAGTATGGTATGGTATGGTATGGTATGGTATGAAGTCCTTTGGATGGCGGGCGAAAAATCTCAACAATAAAATAAACCATCCAGATGACCTGGCTGAACTTTGTGATTTTGTACCTGGATTACTGAGCATGAACTTTGAAACTCAGTCCGTTATACCGATGTTTATTTGCTGTAGTCGTAGCTCAGCATCATCCTCAATGCACATTTCAAGCACTACACGTGTAGTATTTTTTACTTAAAACATTAGAAATTACTATTGGCTTCAACCGTGTCCGTCTTTTAGCAAAATATCTCATGAATCCATGAACGGACCATAATGAAACTCTCAGTATTCATTAGATGTACGTCTACAAATGATTATGTTTTGGAGTCAACCCACTTTATGATGACTGCCACAGCTAATCAGCGTTACCTAACATGAACATGGCTCTACCTCAGTCAACTTTACAGACTTTGAGCTAGAATTTGACGTTAGTAGCTGAGAGTCATACATAAACATGCTCTGAGAGACATCACATGAGATTACTGTTATTGTCAGTGTGTTACCAAAACAGATAGAGCTCCGTAATTTCTCAACAAAAGCTCATCTTAGTCTACATCGGGCATGAATGGTGGTAGACGATATGCATTCCTTCGAGGCACGCGAGGACTTTATTTAATTAGAGAAATTGCATTTCCTGTGAAAATGAAGAACAAGTCTAAATCGAGGTGTTAATGTTTTTGTCTGTGTGTTGCGTTTCTTTCTGTAGCATTAACTAAATGTCTCATGAACCAGTGAACCTGTTTTTTTTATGTATATTTACAGCTAATTAACTTTTGGAGTCAACCTCATGTACAATGGCCAACACAGCTAAATACTAAAATGGCTGTAACTCCAACCTATGTTTTGGTGTGGTAGTAGCCGAGACTCATCTTTAACACATTCTCTGATCTTGGAAAGATTTCACAACAATACATAAGATCATGCATAGTGTCATTTATAAAGTTACAGCTGTTACAACCAGCCATGGCCGACCATTACAGTGAAAACCAAAGTTACACCTGTAAATGGAGATTTTCCTGTCTCTGTTTTCTGCCAGGGATGAAAACCTACCTGATCTCAGGAAGGAAGCTGGATTACGAAGTGCAGTGTACCTGCTCTCAGATGGGACTAGCAGGTGGAGATCATGAGCTGTCCTGCCCTCAACACCGCACACCAGACCTGATCCCTGGAGGGACCCAGGCTATAGGATCCCTGCTGCTCCAGAAACCACCAGAAAATTCTGTGGTGAGAATCATTTTACAAAGTCGCAATCTGAACGACTTTAAAACTCTAAATAATGTTTAGCTTCCTGTGCTAAGGATGATTGGGCTAATTCTTAGGCTATAGCACAGAACTTTGCTTTCATGCAATAGAACATGAAGAAAATACAGTCGCTCTTCTAACCTGTCCATCTACTTGGTCCTTTTCCGTTAAACTTCTCTTGACACTCAGAATCTGAGGCCATGGTCCTGTTGGAAAAGGGTGGACTGCCCTCTCCAGGTTGGGAGGGAGGTCCTATTTCAAGTGGAGGAGTTTAATAATCAAGAGTTTTGTTCAGGAGTTCAAAAAAATGGGACACGAGAAGTACAAGCAGATTTGTTCAGCTTCCACAATGGTGCATAATCTGTACTGGTCTGTTGTGGTGAAGAGGGAGCTGAGCTGCAAGATGAAGGTCTCTGTTTACTGGGTGGTCCACATTCTACCCTCACCTATGGGCTTGAACTCTGGATAGTGACTGAAAGAACGGGATTGCACATACAAGCGGCCAAAATTAGTTTTCTCCGTAGGGTTGCTGGGTTCAAAGATGAGGTGAGAAGTTCAGTTTTCTGGGAGAGACTTGGAGTAGAGCCTTCTCCTCCACATCGAAAGGAACCAGTTGAGGTGGTTTGGGCATTTTTTTAAAGATGCCCCCAGATGCCTTCATATGGAGGTGTTCTGGGCATGTCCAGCTTGAAGAAGACCCTGGGGAAGACTGAGAGCATGCTAGAAAGACTGTGTCTCTTTGTTGACCTGTGAGCGCCTTGGAATCTTCTTGGAAGAGGCTGCTGTGGATGGAGATGCCTGGACCTCCTTGTTGCTGAAGCTGCTGCCCCTGCAGCAACTCCTGAGCATCCATCCATTATCTTTACCCGCTTCTTCCTTTTCTGGTCACGGGGGTCACTGGTGCCCATGTCCAGCAATCACTGTGCGAGAAGCCACTGAACAAGTGGACGATAATGAATGGATGAATCTCAGACAGAGGGAAATCTAACTTATTGATCTGTGCCTTAATCTCAAACGTGATTTTTTAAATTAAATATGCTAAGAATTATTTTGAGTCTTAATTATCATGAATGTACCTCATTTCATTCCCACCAGTCCTTTAGCCTAAACTGAACTGAACTTAAATGCTTAAAGTGCAGTCGGTCATTTATAATGATGTGTTGTTGAAGCTCAGGCTGTTCATGCTTCAATTTGTCAGCCTCTCACCCCACTGTCACTTTCTCTTTCCAGCCTCCTTGTGTTTTCCACAGTGCAGTGCGGTCTGCTGTCACAGAGCAGGGTGATGATGTGGCTGTGCTGAACGGCTGCCAGGAAGAGTACAAAACCAGCAGTGCCACGGTACTCCACACATGCATGAACAAAGTCACCAACAAACACTACACTTGTTGAACACCACCTGAAGCGTTTCCCACTTAAGTTGCAGTACTTCAAGTTGTCTTTTTTTTTTTTTAAGGAAGTAAAACATTTATGAGCAGTCAGCATTTTAGCTGCTGTGGACAGAACGCAGAATGATCTCAGTTTGGAAAAATCAGAGAAAATCCTCATGGGAGTCAAACAGCTACTCAGAGCAGTGACCATTTTAATTTGAAACTACAACTCCCAACAGTCTTAGTAGTTTGAATGCAAGCTGTATAGTATAATTTAGCACCTTAATCTTTTTGCATGAGTCAATTATTCATGTTGTCATATTTTAAAAACAAACATTTTCTCTGTTGCAATGCTAGTTGTGACTACAGTGGATGCTAATTGTATCCTACCATTAATCAGACATAACTCGCATTACTAGAAACTACAAAATGCAAAATTGTTTGACTATGAATGCAAAATCTACCATACTGTATTTCCCGCCGTACACGTCACACTGCCGTATAAATTGCATCAGTCCAAATATGTCTAATAAAGTGGAAAAAAAACATAAATACGTCGCTTCACCGTATAAGTAGCATCTATTATGCGTCACCGCTTACAGCCTGGAAATGTGGGCCAGTGTTGTGCCCAAAATCAATTGGCTGCCAAATGGCAGCTGCTGGAGCGTGCACAGGAGGACTTTAACAATTTAACACGATTAACACTTAAAAACAATTATTTGTTTGCTCAAAATTATAGCAAAGGTTTGTTTCAGTTTAACTTTTCTTTAATAAATGCACTTTGATGGTCAAATGAGCTGCATTTCAAAAGCGGATTTGTGGCTGTGGGAGTGCGCAGAGTGAGGACTCGCTGTGCATTTCTTCAAAATTTAACAAGATAACCACCTAAAAACAATTATTTGTTTGCTTGACATTATAGCAAAGGTGTGTCCCAGTTGAACTTTTTCTTAATAAATGCACTTTAACGGTCAAATCAGCTGCATTTCACCTGGGCGGCGCGGCGGTATGCAACTGATTTGACGTTTGCTCCAGGAGTTTTGGAGCGAAACGAAGGTGGCTTGGTATGGCAAGCCAAGTGTCTCATTAATAGTCACTTTTACCTATTAATGAGCCACTTGGCTTGCCATATTAGTTGAGCGCCCTCTAGTGGCTGAAAATGGTAGTGTTCAATATTTTCCGTGTCAGAATGAATGAAATCATCAGATTTCAGCTAAAAATTGGGTTATAAATATGGGAAAAAACATAAATAAGTCGCTTTGCTTTATGTTGCATGGTATGCTAATTTATGCAAAAAGGTGCGACTTATACATCGCAAAATACGGCACCTGCCTTTTTTTTTTGTAGAAAAATTAGATGATGTACAATTTTTTTTCCAAACTGATCTTTTTAGTTGTCAGTTCTTAAAATGTTTGCGTAGTCATGGCACTGTTTCTAGAAATATAAAAATTGGAAAACAACTCCAAATGCTACATGCGTCGCTTTAACTCTGCTTTGGGCAGGAGCCAAGGTGTGGAGCAAACACAAGAAGAAAATGGCCTTGTGACATTGGTTGAATTAGTTCATTTTCAAAAGGTTGTGTTTTTTCTGTCCACTTGACAACGTAAGGGTGGTGTTTCAAGATTTAGTTTTACTCTAGCGCTCGTTTTTAACTATTTTAGGGCTCCTAAACTGCTGTGTATCTGTGGAGGTGAGGCTAAAATGATAAAACAAAACTTTTCGTTTTCACAAAAAGTGTTCCCATGTGGTCGACCCATTAGATCAGGGGTTTGCAACCTTTAGGATCAAAAGACTCATTTCTCCACTTTCATTCACTAAATTAAACGTGTCCAAAGCTGCTAAATCTGCTATAATAGTCATTATCAACTGGTAGCCCATGGGCCACTTTAACTTTGTTAGAGGGGGCTTTTCTGGCCAGTATGTATGAAATTATAAAACTAAAAACATCTCATGATTAACATTTACCATATTTTTGGACTATAAGGCACATTAAGCAAAACAGTCAGATAAGTCAAACTTTATTCAACTTATTCACAGTAACCACATAAAATTGGTTCGAGGTCAGTAAACACAACCAGAATTAATACATAAGGTGCACCTGATTATAAGGCTCACTGTCGCTTTTTGAGAAAATTAAAGGATTTTAAGTGCGTCTTATAGTCCGAACAATATGGTATTGATATTTTTACATTTTAAGACAACAGAAAAGACTGGATTTCATCCATCCATCCATCCATCCATTATCTTTACTCGCTTTTTCCTTTTCGGGTTGCAGGGGGTCACTGGTGCCCATATCCAGGTTGCAAATCTACCACAGAAGACTGGGTTCTTGTTAAAAAAAATAAAAGTATTATTTTGCCATTAAAAAAAAAAAAAAAAAAAACAATGTGCAGGTTTATGTTTTTTTTATTACACATTAATAAGCACTTTGGTAACAGCTGCTATTTTTTAATGTGCTTTATAAATTAAATTGACTTGGCTTAAGTATGGACAAATCGAGTGTCCTACTTCAAAGAAATAAAACATAGTTAAAGTGTGTATAATTTACTCTGTGTATTAGTACTAGTATGTACATATTTCCGGGCAGCACGGTGGCGCAACTGGTAGAGCTGCTGCCTCTCAGCGAACAGGTCCCTGGCTCAAACCCCGGTCCAGGTGCCTTCTGGGTGGAGTTTGCATGTTCTCTCCGTGCATGCGTGGGTTTTCTCCGGGTACTCCGGTTTCCTCCCACAGACCAAAAACATGCACGTTAGGCTGATTGGTAACTCTAAATTGTCCCTAGGTGTGAGTGAGAGAGTGAATGGTTGTTTGTCTCGTTTGTCTCTATGTGGCCCTGTGATGGACTTGCGACCTGTCCAGGGTGTACCCCGCCCCTCGCACAGTGATTGCTGGACATGGGCACCAGCGACCCCCGTGACCCAAAATGGAATAAACGGGTAAAGATAATGGATGGATGGATGTACATATTTGCAAAGGAAATGACAGGAAAACTGCTAACATCCTATAACATCGTATGAAATTCAGGTTGATGTTTTGGTCAAAGCTTGAAAGAGACACTGCGGCGGGACCAAAGAGCCACATGTGGCTCCAGAGCCGCAGGTTGCAGAACCCTGCATTAGATGGTGGAAATGTGCTCTTGAATAAGTCCTGCTCTGATGGGCTGTTGGCTTAACTTCTCCATGAGAATTTCTCAGTGATGCTTCAGAGATTCCTCTGCCTGCAGTCTGTTGACTTGTCATACATACTTCATCCATACATCAGTTAAACCACCCTTCACAAACAAGCTTTGCATCCCTCCTTCATTTCCTCGTTCTTGTTCTCGCCGTCGTCATCTTTATTTCCTCCTGTAGTTCATCCCAGGTCGCAGCCGGAGAACTGCCAATGGTCTCCTGAGCCCCCCGCTGGAGGACCCGGTGCGCGCCAGCCAGGGTTCGCTGTGTGAGATCCTCCAGGAGAAAGAAAAGAAGACCAGCACGAGCACGGGAACTGGCACCAGTCTTGGCATGACTGGAGGCGCGGCAGCAGCCAGCCCTGGCATGGAGCACTCGGCCCTCATCCAACTGCGAGCCAAGAACTTCAAACAGAAGAGCGATGCTAACTTTGTGGATGTTATCATGGAGGACAGGTAAGCAAACGGGTTAAAGGTAAACTTTATGAACTGATTATGTCATCCAAGCATGACTACGCTCGATTGGAAAAGCAATCCATTTAATCAGAATTTTCCATCAGTAATAAACCTTTGTACTCCAGAATGTACAAAAGACTGTGGAATAATAATCCATGCATCTGTCACGTATTTATTTTTGGCAACATGATAACTCAAAAATTTTAAGAACAGATTGTATTTAACAATCAGAGCAGAATTAACTGAGAATGACTGCTGTGTTCAGACCCATCCTCTTTTTTGTCTTTTTAGTTGATTGTTCCTTTTATCCACTTTGTCTCTTTTCCTTTGGTACAGTCTGATGAAGAAAGACTTTTTCAAGCCACCAATTAACAAGATCAGCCTTAATTTTCTCGAGAGGCCTCTGGAAAAAGCCTATCGCAGCAGCTACAAGGAGGAGGTACACAAACATTAACACAAACACACACGTTTTCTGATAAATACAATAAGAACATTGTTTTTTTTCTGTTAGTGCTTTTAAAACTTTTCACTTCTTCAGTAACCTGACAACAGTCTCACCTTTATTCACGCCTGTAAATGTGTTTACAGAATACATGGATACAACACTTTTATTTTTTGCTACAGTTCACACAGTCTTGGCACCAGTTGGTTGTTTTGTTGTGGCCCTGTAGTTTTTCAGCCCCCTGTTGTTTAATCTGAAATACTGCAGCTTAAAAACTGATCAGAGTTTATAGCTACAACTTTTTAGTCCACTGTTGATAATGTATGAAACGTTCACACTATTGTGATACGTTTTTCTTCTGTGCATTTTTTGGCGCGACTCTCGTCCCGCAGTTTTCAAGCTATTTCAACAAATCATAAATCAAAACATTCAGCTCTTTCAGGACAGTCCTGCTATGACTTTGATATTGGTGCAACTTTAGCTTTTAGAAATATTTTGCCTGTTCTACCATTTTTTTTCTTATAGGAATTGAATTGAGCTCATTTTATGTCCTTCAAATCTTTAGATGTGTTTACAACCTTATACTGCTCCTTCCACATTTTGTTCTGGTTCAGCTTCTTTTAGCTTCCTTCTGCCAAATTTAACTATTTTCAGTTCCTCTCAGCTAATTTCAGCTGTTTATTTCAGCTGTTTTGTGCTCCTTTCAGATTATTTCTGCTAACTACAACATTTTTGTGCTTCTTCCTGCTCCTTTCAGCTTATTTTTGCAAGTTTCAGCTTTTTCTGCTAATTCAGCTACTTTTAGCTGTTTATGCTAATTTTAGCTGTTTCAGCTAATTTCACTTTTTGCACACATTTCAATTTTTTTAGCCTAATTCAGCACAAATGTGTGCTTTCCACTTCCTTCTTTAATTGAAGCTTCTTCTTTTTTGATAATTTCTGCTTTTTTTTCAGATAATTTCCATTTTTTGTGCTCATTTCTGCTTCTTTCAGCCTAATTGGGAAAACGTGTTCTTTCTGCTTTCTTCTGCTAATTTAAGCTTGTTCTACCTTTTCAGCTATGTTTTTAGCTTTTTTCCCCTAATTTCAGCTGTTTTCAGATTAATTCAAAATTTTCATGGTAATTTTTGATACCTTCAACCTTCTTTATGGCAATTTCAGCTTGTTATGCTCCTTTCGAGTTTTTTCTGCTAGTTTCAGCTTTTTCTGCTATTTCAGCTACTATTTAGCTGGTTTTGTGCTCATTTTAGCCTTTTCAGCTATTTTTTTTTTTAACTCAGTTCAGCTCTTACCACGTCCTTTTGGGAGTTAATCTTATTTCTGTCTTTTCATCTACTTTTCATCTACAATTCAGCATGCTTTTTTAGGTAATTTTTGCTGTTTTTAGTTAATTTCAGCTGTTTTTCAGCAAGTTCTTCAGCAGTAAGCATTCAAACTGCATTTTCGCAAGAAATGCAATTTCTCTAGTTTATATTATCACTATGATTATGCTAATTATTTGTTTTGTAGTACTTTGAAGATAGAAGTTTTGAATTTCTTTGAAACTTAAAGTCTATTTCTGTTAAATAATAATACAGGAGTTAAATCCAAAAAAGTTCAATATAACTGCTTATTGTTGTTGCTGTTGTCCATTGTTGTCATCTTTCTTTGTTGAAATCAGGTCTCTCTTGTAAATGAGTCCTCGAGGCTCAATGGGATTTACCTGTATAAATAAAGGTTGATTGATTGATCTGGTCCTCTGGACATTCAAAAAAAACCCAAAAAAAACAAAGCAAAAAATATAGAAACGTTTCGTCTCTCATCCAAGAGACTTCCTCAGTCTTCTTGGATGAGAGACGAAACGTTTCTATATTTTTTAGCTTTGTTTTGTTTTTTGGTTTTTTTTTTAATGTCCAAAGGACCAGATTGAACTTTTTTGGATTTTTCTACCTGGATTATTGAGCATGCATCAGGATACAGGAGTTAAATATTTGGGATTTGTTGTAAAATGCATAGATTTGATAATTTTACTGGAACTTGATAAAATGTCTTCTTGTGTGCAGTTTTATGTCAGCGTGAGGTTTGTTCTCATTAAAAATGTGTTGCTGCTCTCATTCGTTTTCCCTCCTCTGTTGCCTCCAGGTGAGGAACAAGGTTCAGGTGCAGACATTTGCAAGCCCCACCTTCAGCTCCTTCCTGGATGTTCTCATCAACTGTTTTGTCTTCCTGGCCTTGACCCTGGCCTGCTTCCTTCCATCTCTGGCAAACCCAGTTACGGTGGGCTCCCCCATGCTCGCCGCTCTGATCCTGGCTCCCGTGGCTTGTCTGTTGGAGTTGGCGTCTCTGGTGCTGTCCATACGGTGAGGTTTTATTTAGGCTCGTTAATGCCCATCAACGTTTGAGCTTTCGTGGATGTGAGTTTACTCACATTTTTAGTAATTATTTCAATAACAAACCAATAAAATAGATTTATCGCTTGCAAAGGGAGGCCATGACGATTTTGTCCATGTTTGTTTTTGTGTGTTTCACTTTTTTAACTAAAAGATCTTATGAACCATAGGGCAGACTAGAAAGTTCCTGCAGAAACTTTGATGGGGACTGCCCCGTGGCAGCCATTTTTAAATTTAGATGACAAAAATGCCTACATTTTGATTTATAATATATGAGCATATCTTAAAAGATGCGATAGTAGGAAGAGTTTGTTCGACGACTTTATGAGTTTTCTTCAGGGTCCTCTCCACTCTAGGTCATGTGACCTCAGGGCTGCTGTTAGAGGGTGACAAGTGTTCCACCAGGTGTTTTGTATAGAAAAAAAATGGCATCTTTGTTTGCAAATTATGTTGCCATGGTAACTTGAAATGCCAATAAAAGTAATAGCACACATCATGGGGCAGAGTTGGTCATTTTGATATAAGATTTATGGGGGTACACTTTAATGGGGGCTGCATTAAAGTTGATTTGAGTTAAGAAACCCTTTGTTAGGTGGATAATAATAGGTGCTGCCTTTTACTAGGCAGTCCCGAACTATTAAAGTTGCAGCTGAAAAATAGCTGATAAATATTTGGATCCACCTCAATTCAAGATGGCTGCCACAGACAACTGACCTTAAAACAAAACAAACAAAAAAAAGGCTAGTACCCAGTTAATTACACCTATTATGATACAACCATATGTAGGATTTGGTGTGGGTGTAGCTGAGAGTCACAACACACACCAAGAGCTGCTTACTCTGTGAGCTATTTGCTCAACATTCACTGTTTGTCTGTTAGCAACATGGCTCATGAACCTCTAGATGTTTTTTTGTTTTCATGAAAATCTCAGAAAGTAAACAGCTGATTAACTTTTGGGGTTAGTTCATTTCAAAGTGGCAGCTACAGGTGATCAACATTAGCCAGTACAACAATGGTTATAACTCAAGTCAATTTTATAATTAATTCATTTAAATCATCCTTAATTTATACTCTGACATCTAATGGGACTGTGCTTCATGTTTATTCAGGATTTGACCAAAATGGCTTAAACTTTGTCCCTTCTCCTTCTATTATCTTAGTCTAAAGCTCTGGTGTGAAAGGCTGTGGGTGATATGCAGTCCCTCAAATAATGCTATGCCTTTAATTATATAACGAGTTATATTTACTGTTTCCAAGGGTGCATTCTTATGAAACAAAAATGAGTGTTTCTCTAGTTTAGACTTTTTTCCCTGGCATGACAAATAAACCTTTGATTTTTTTTTTCCAAGTTGGCTTCTGTGATGTTTATGTCAGTATCTCGTTTGCTTCAGAGTCACAGAGCTGAAAACTACTGACAGACCAACAAGCTGCACGGTGACTCTCCTCTTACGCAGGCACAGGTGGTTTTCGGTTTTATTTGGCTCCTGGTCCGCAGTGGATTAATCTGTCTGGACAAATCTGGATCATGTCCAGTTTTATGAGAAATATCAGTTCTGGCTCCAAAACTGGAACAAAGACATATTGGTACCTGGTTGACTTCCAAACTGAAAAAGACCAAACTAACAAACTTTTACTTGAAGTTTCCAGTACAGTAGTCCATCGCTACTTTGCAGTTCGTTTTTCGGTTTTTCAAAATAAGATTGAACATGACACACAATTGGCTGATTGATGGATGAGCCGCACGATCGGCAGGGAATTTTTATTTAAAATATATTATTTTAAATTGTTTAGCACCTGCTGCACCTGTGTTCAGACCAGAGTTACAGAAAAAGCTTCCTCCTGCACATTTGTGCAGCCCTTACTGCAGGATAAGCTTCCTGCTGCAGCTGATCAGCTGTTCTCGTGCACAGCGGAGAAGTGGGTGTGGCCAAGAGTGCATGCAGGTGGCTGAAAGCAGACGAGGCAGGGAGCTGAAATCATGACATTCTGTGCTCTTTCAGAGCGTTTAGAGTTTAGAAACATAGTTTAAAATATTGCAAGAGTGTCGAAAGGGTTTATATATATATATATATATATATATATATATATATATATATATATAT